CTTTTTTTTTCTTATATGCTTATTCGTTCTACAGATTGAGCCCTGTAGGACAATACTGCTAGTCATGCATCGATGCCTTGCTCATTTGATGGCCATTTTGCAAAAAAAAGAGACTATATATAAAAGAGAACACCTGGATGAACATTAAAATATACTTGAACTATGACTTTTACAGTTGATATGTAAATAGGAATATAAGATACATAAAGAGAAATATTTCAGTCGATTCTTCTTTGGATATTATATTAAAACACTTATTTGTTAAACACTAAAAAAAGAAGATGGCCACGTAAGTTGAAATTTAATTTCTTATTAATTCTACATGATGGAAGATAATAAAGATTTTTTGATACAATTAATTAATGAAAAGAAAAATTAAACAATAAAAAATTATCATCACAAATCGATCTACTATAATTTTATAGAAAAATATTTCAATCTAAAATCTAATTACTAAATATCTACCGGCGAATCAAATTGTTCGTTTTCGTTAACTAGAAAATATTTTTTTCTACATTATCTCATAATATCTATGTATTTTATGATATAAACAGTGATGATTTTTCTAGTAGTTAGTCCTTCATCCATTCTTTTTTCTTTTTTTACCTTTAATATATACTAATATGAGACAAGCTATAGTTAATATTGAATTACAAGGATTGTTAGTTTTTTTTTCTCTCTTTTTCTGAGCAAGGTCAATTGCTGATGTTTATTAGTTTGTTTATTATTGTTGTACAAATGAATACTATAAATCAAAAAAGTTGAAATGAACGTTTAAATTTACATTAAGAGAAAAAAATAAAGATAACTTAAAAAATAGAGTAGCAATATTGTCTTTAAATTGAACTCCAATCTATACAAGAATAAACATAAACAAAGCTAGGGGAATAATATGTAAATGTCCTTGCCGGTATTTTACTATATATAGTTCCGCAAGACTGATTCTGTCTCTTGTTACTATTATCATCAATATTTGTCTCTTTTTTTCTTCTTTAATGAAACTATAAACAATATTAAAAATCGATATATTGTACGATTTTTTTTCCCTTGTCTTCGATCATTTACTCAATAGCAGATTACTTGTATATTGGTATATGTAGTTTTCTTCTTTGTTTTTTGTTCTTAATTTTAGGTCTCGTAATTATAACAACGTCACAAGTGATAGCAATCAAGAGACTAAAACTACTCGTGTGACAGATCGTACTCAAATTCATCAAGTTCTTGCAGGCGTTGGCCTAGATCCGAACGATTATATTATTAGTCCATCACCAGAGGATCAGTTATCCCGAGAGTCAGCATCTAATAAAACATCAGCTTTTACTACCTATCCTTCACCACCAGAGCAGAACGCTCAACATCCATTGACATCGCAATCGCATTCCTTATTCACATCCGCTCGACCTCTTTCATACGTAGAACAACCTCCACCTCAACCTCCACCAGCGCAACTTTTTCCAGGTTATCCATCGACACAATCAAATAACAATCAACCACCAATCAATCAACAACAAGGTCCACAACTACCACCACCACCAACCTCACAATCAACAGCATCGTCACTATCATTTCTTTTCAATCAACCCTCATCAAACACACAAAATACAATCTCACAAAACACAACCTCACAAAATATACCTACACAAAATACAACTACACAGCCATCTAACGATATGAGTCATTACTGCGTTTCACCAAGACGATCTCCTCCACCGCCACCATCGCATTGTCACCCCCATCATCATCACCATCATCATCATCATCGTGATTCGTCCTTGTCAGCCGAACATTATATACATCAAGTTAATTCACACTGTAACCCACCTGTTAAAGTAGTAAAACCGAGTACACAAAATGTTGTCTATAAAAAGGAAATTCGTATTCGTTATTTACAACCACCTACACCACCACCACCAGCACCAATTATAATTCGTGAAAAACATATACCACCAGATCCACCTCAATCTGTACTTATTGATCATTTTTCTTTCTATATTTTTAATTTATTAATTTGTCTTCATTAACAGCCACTTCTTATTCGTGAGCGAAAACCAGAAGCTCGTACACCACCACCATTGACTATCCGTGAACGTCCACCAACACCACCTAAACCACTTGAGTAATACAATTAGAAGATAAAAAAAACAATTATTTTTATCTATAATTGTTTATTTTCTTTTCGTTTAATTAGACCATATATAATTGAAAAAAAAACTTCCACCACCTCCACCTCATCCACGTCAAATTATTATCGAACGTTTACCAACTCCACCACCAAAACCTCGTACAGTTATATTTGAAAAATGGTTACCATATAAAAAACTTAAACGTCCTGTCCTATTGCAAAGAGCTCCAACACCAGAACCTATTAAACCAGCACGTAATGTTGTTATTGAATATGAACCATTAAAAGCTTATACAGTTCGACGTGTTATCGAAGAAGGTGTATTTCGTGTTGATCCATGTCAATTTTCAAGTTACAATGCTAAAACACAGAATTGTGGTGGTGACGTACGTATTGTTGAACGTATTGAAGATTTACCACCACCAAGTGAACAATTAAGACGTGTTTTAAATGAATATAATTGTGAACATCGATGTAGTCCAGCACATATAAGTCGTCATGATTATCATTCACATCAGAATTTATCTGAACATATTCCATCATCGATTCAACATTTATTAACGGGTGCACGACCTACATCAAATATTGATCAACTTACAAATGTATCACGTTCATCAAGTACACCAGCTCATAGACATGATCGAGTTCTATCAACAGGCAGTAATTCATCAGTTCCAAGTCCAACCCATGCACGTCTTCCAAGTTCACATTCGAAAACTTCCAATCGTATAGTAGAACAACGTTCACCACCTCACGGTAGTCCAATGCGATATCATGAGGACGATATCTATTAATAACTGACATCATATTTCTTTAACTCTAATATTTTATAAATGAACGAATTTAATTATTTTTCGTTCACACTTTTTTTGTTCATTTTTTTTTTGTCTTTTCAAAACAATTTTTCAACAATTTAATATGATGTGATTTTCCTTAAGAGCACGAGGGGTTTTTAGTCAACTAATACATATGT